TTTGAGCATTGGCCTGCTAAACCCAGGGTTGTGAGTTCAATCCTTGTGGAGGCCATTTAGGGATTTGGGGCAAAAATTTGTCAGGGATGGTACTTGGTCCTGCTGTGAAGGCAGGGGACTGGACTCGATGACCCTTCAAGGTCCCTTCCAGTTCTAAGAGATAGGCAATCTCCATTTAAAAAAAAAAAAAACCTGAGTGGGAATTGTGGTAACAGTCTTCAAATATACTAAGAACTGTTATAAGAGGAGGGCGATCAATCTTCTGTCTGCCAAAGGGAGGACAAGAAATAATTGACTTAATCTGAAGCAAGGGAGATTTAGGTTAGATTTGAGGAAAAAACCCTTTCTAACTATAAGGATAGCTCTGGAATAGGTTTCCAGTGCAGGCTGCAGATCCCTCGTATTGGCCATTTTTAAGTACAGGTTAAACAAACACCTATTTAGGTGTCATGGGCGGTGGGTATAAGAGGCAAGGGAAGGCACTACCTTTCCTAGGTCTTAGTGCTCAACCCCTCCCCTCTTCCTAGTCCTGTTCTGAACCTTCTTCCAGGCTCCCACAACTGGCTGCTGCCTGGTGAGTCTTTGATCTAGTACAGTGGCTCCCAACCTTTTCCAGCATACAGACCCTGTGATGGGCCCCGCTGCCCCTGCTTGCTTTAGGAAATGGACTTATGGGCACAAATATACATAACTCAAAGATGCTCGAGACAAACTGCCTCATGTAATCTTTCAGTCTTCAGGTCTTAATCTCTGGGTCTCTCTCTCTTGTTTTGTGAGTGTAAGTTAGAGATACAGGTACAGAATGGCTTATGGATGTAAATGTGCCATGGAAAGCCTCAAGGGTTTCGAATGCTGGGAGGCCTCAGTGCCTGGGCAACCCTATATCAACAGTCCCTTTTGTCCTTTAAGTTTCAGCAGCAGTTGGTCGTAGGAAGTCATGTGATCTCCCGAACTGGTAGGAACTGGACAGGGAACTTCTCATGCAAAGTGGAATCTATAAAACAATGAGGAGCTTGGCAGTGTCTGTGTCTTTGTCTGGCATGGCACTCCCAAGAGAGTGAACCAGAGACCCCAGGGAAAGGTTTTGGAGGCGTGGCTGGAAAAAGAGGAGTTTTAGGGCGAGTTTACAATACATTTGTACCGAGGGTTTAGTGTTAGAAGTCGCTAAGCATTGTTTGTGATTTTAAATTCGTAATCTACTTTGCTCTGCCTGTTCTCACTTGTTACCATTGAAATCCAACTGCTCGTACTTAATACAATCACTTTTACTTAGTATCAAGCCTAGTGTAAATAATTGTTACCTGGGGGAGCAAACACTGTGTACATCCTCCTTTCATTGCTAAACAGGGCTTACCTAAATAATTCCTTTGGGGTTCTGATCCCATTCGGGGACTGGTATCCCAGGAAAGCTGAGCCCCAAACTGCATTTTCCTTGGACCTGAAAAGTTTCAGTGACTGTACTGCTCCTCGAGGGGCAGTGATCGCAGCTCTGTGCGTTGGTTGGGGGGAATAGGGAGCTGGCCCAGCAAGACAGGGCAATGAGAAGCCCCAAAGAGCAGGAAGGCGAGTAGCAGTGGCTTTGTCAGCCCCCAGGAAGCCACCCTAAGTGGTCTTCTACGACCACAGCCAATCACAGATCCCTTTTCAATCTATTAAAATTGGACAGACCCCCCCAAGCAATATAGCTATGCCTGCAGCCTGCACGTCTCTCGGACTGCACTGCTTCCGAGCTGCATCCCTCAGCCCCCTCGGGAAGCAACGTGGGCTGAGGGACTTGCTGGCTGCTGGCACGGAGCTTCTCAGCTCCCTGGGCGTTGAGAATCTCTGTGCCAGCAGCCAGTACATCCCTCAGCCCACGCTGCTTCATGAGTCGTGGGAAGCAACGCGGGCTGAAGGACATGCTGGCTGCGAGAGGCTCCATACATTTATTTTAATTTCTATTTTAAACTTTCCGTGGACCCCCTACAGTACCATCACAGACCACCAGGGGCCCGCAGACCACAGGCTGGGAACCACAGCTCCAGTAACTTAAGAGTGAAAAAGCCTTTCCCCTTGCCAGACAGATTAGTAGAACATTTTTATTGTTAAAGAGCCATTCAAGTGGTAATGAGGCCATTAAACAGGCATTTGCCAACCCCCACACATAGATAGTGTCAGTGTCTGAATTTGCAGATAAATAGTTGTGCATTATGTATTTACTCAGAACATAATAGGCTACAGGTCCCTATCTAACATTCACTTTCAAATATGTCATTAGTGTGTTGCTGGAGATGATAAAAATCATATCATTAAAATACCCTTGTATAGATATTTAGATGCACAATCTAAGCATACATCTTTAGTCTGCAATGCTTGGGTCTTTGGACATATTTTTAAAATAATTCCTTCAAAAGTCCACCTCTATCTAAAACACACTTTTTAGTTAATTTCTATTGTACACAAATTTTGCTTCCAAAGTTTTCTGTCTTTTTTTGCCATCCCTGCCCATTTAATTTTTCTGCCTTCACCGCTACCCCCACTCCCTCTTTATCCCTTTAAAGGCTCTCTTAACTTCTGACTATTAAGAAAGGAAAACTATTTGATTAGCTAGTTTTGAGAGAACCCTTCAGCAAAATCAGTAGCTTAATAAGACAAGTCCTGTGTTATGCCTAAAATATTTGAAAACATATTTTAAAGTTGGTGAAATTTCAGAAACATGTCTTTATGGAGATTACACCTAGACTATGTATACACTGCGCATAGTTGTGCAAGAAGATATGCAAATGCGGCGTGGTGATGAATATTGCTGCACCTCATTTGCATACCTAATGAGCCACCATTTTGTGCAAGAGGCTTTTGCACAAGAAAGAGCTGTCTACACTGCTCCTTCTTGTGCAAAATCCCCCTCTTGCGCAGGAGCTGTTCTTCCTGAAAATAAGTGGCAGACTGGATCTTGCGCAAGAGGGGGGTTTTGCGCAAGAAGGAACAAGTGTAGATATGGCTTCATTAGGTATGCAAACGAGGCATGGCAACATTCATCACCGTGCCTCATTTGCATATCTTCTTGCGCAACAATGCGCAGTGTAGATGTAGCCCTAGGCTTTGTCTACACTGCAAGGTTTTTGCGCGAGACGCTTTTTGTGGAAGAGATCTTCAGCAAAAAAGTCTTGCACAAAAGCATGTCCACACCTCAAAGCGCACCGCAAAAGTGCTGTGGTTTTGTGCAAGAGAGCGTCTACACTGCATGGACACTCTTGCACAAGAAAGCTCTGATGGCCATTCATGGAATGGCCATCACAGCACCCGTGCTTTTTCTGATAGGCTCTTTTTGCACGAGAAACCCCTGCTGAGTGTCCACACACACCTTTTTGTGCAAGAACTCTTGTGCAAAAAGGAGTTATTCCTGATGGGGAGAGGAATAACTCTACTGGCAAAACATGCTTGAGGTGTGGACGCTCCGCGGGTTCTTGTGCAAAAACCCTGTGGTGTAGACATAGCCATAGTATATTAGTGTTCCCTTTCTCTAAACCCAGTGAATGGTGTTATGAACACCGTAAACCTCTGCTGGGATATGTAAAAATTAATTGGGGTCTGGGCTAGTGCTAAGGGGTGAGCCACAGCAGGCATTGCCCTTTAAGAATATTTTTCCCCTTTGTCCTGGCAGCCTTGAAAGATTTTGTCTTCTCACCTGTTTTGTAAAAACACTTTCAGGGTCAAATCACTTTCCCCCTCCCTAGAAGCTGCTGCTGAAGACAGCATGTAATGCTGATTCAACTAAAAACCAGTAAACAACAAACAGGGGTGGGTATAATTGTATTCATCACCTGCTAATTAATATTCATTGTTTGGGAGTTAACATGACTAAATAAGATTTTAGGGAAAGTAGTGATAGACATGTGAATTAAGATACTAAAATAGATAAAAGGGTGCAATTGGTACCATATTGTTGCCATTCAGAACATTGTGTTGGTGGCCTGGGGTTAACGTGTGTGGGCAATAAAGCAGTTCTGTTTACCCCTTCCACTCCTGGGTTGCCTGTTTCTTCTCTAACAACCTCTGTGACAACTACAGACTAAAATAAGGCAGAAGTTTCTAACAGTGATGATAATTAAAACTACAACAATTTACCCAGGGACGTGAAGGATTCTACATCAGCATTTCTCAGCCAGTGGTACGAGTACCCTTAAGGTACTTGAGAGCAGTCTGGGGCATACGTCAACACAACTGAAACTTGGAGAAAACAATTTTTGTTTTAAGTTTTACAGCGCTTTATTATTTTTGTACTTTTTACACCCAAAAATTTCATCGCCCACCTGACTACGATTAAGTTGTTTAAACAAATGTGCTGCAATGGTAGAAAAAATGTTGCGTGTCTGAAAATTGTAGGTACTGGGGGTACTTCTAATTTTTTTTTGAAAAGGGTTTACTTTGTTTAAAAAAAGGTTGAGAAACACTGTTCTACATCACTTGGAGTCTCTCAATCAAGACTAGATGCCTTTCTAAAAAATCTGGTCTAGCACAACAGAAGTTAAGTGCCTGATGCAGTTTACTGGATGAAGTTCTGTGGCCTGTATTACAAAGGAGGTCTGACTAGATGACCATTATGGTCCCTTGAGAGTTTCAAATCTGTTAATCTGATCCACATAAGAAGAAATTGCCTGAAATACAGCCTTTCAATGGGAAGGAGAAATTGGGAAAGCAACCTGGAAGGGGGGCAAAAGAGAGCGTGTGTGAGAGAGACAGGCTTTGTGACCTAGATTGAGTGTGTGTGGCCCACAGACAGTGTGTGTAAAACAGTGACTCAGAGTGTGTGTGCTGGCTGCTGCTAGATAAGCTTCTGAGAGAAGCCATGCTCTGTCTCTTTAAGACAGAGAAAGCTGTCCTGCTCTGTCCTGTCCCTCCCCCAGTGCCTTACCATGTCTGAGTCTATTATGTCTGCACCAAGCTTATCCAAAATGCTGAGTCATACAAGTTGCATCTTTTATGCCCTGCTCATTCTGATGAGAAACTTTGTGTTTTAGGGTGACCTCAAGAAACTGGAGGATGCCAGCTCTTACCTGAACCTGCCTTCTATTAAAGGCCTGTCAGAGGCAAAGCCTCTTTCTGGTTCCTCATTCCGAGTGAGCGGGAGCATGGCTTCTATGAGCACTTCTTCCCGGGACAGCTTCCAAATCTCCACCCTTGTCTGCTCCACCAAATTAACCCAGAATGGTATGTAGGAGGCTTCTGCTCTCAGCTGATGTGCACACCACGGCCCTCTGTGTGACACTTTTGTAGTACTCCCGCATGCCCATGCGTGCACTGCTACACATGCTGTATTCACTTGCTACACAGCTGTACGGGTGCCCACCCTGCACACAGCTGCACACTCCATCACGCCTGTGCAAATACGCACGCTGACATTAACAGCATTAATGGAATGTCTGAAGTGTCACCTGGTGACAGTGAGGGAATTCTGAGGAACAGCTCTAAAGCACCCTGTTCCTGGGGACACATCGCTGGACAAGCTCTTATACACACCCAGAGCATTGGCACGGGATTTCTGGCAAATCATACAGTAATTAAATCCAAACAGATCCTCAACTAACATTAATGATAGACAACGAGAAGTCCTGTGGCACCTTCTAGACTAACAGCTGACAAAGTGGGTCTTTGCCCACGAAAGCTTATGCTCCAATACATCTGTTAGATTCAGACTAACATGGCTACCCCTCTGATAGTAGAGTAACGAAGTGCCCTAACGTGAGAAAACATGAACGGTAAACTGGCCGTATTGCGAAAAGTGGCTGTCTAAATAGGGCTCGGGCTGCATGGCAGGTGATTTGACTCCAGATGAAGGAAATAGAAGTTTGTGCCTGAATGTGAGATGCAAGCAGGGCTATTTCTTGCTGATGCACTGTCAGCAATGAAAACAGTGCTCTTAGAATGTAAGTACCAATTCCATGAATACTGCATGGGCCAGAAAAGACCCCAGTTGTGTTGCCCAAAACTGGACTGGCTCTTCCTGGTTCATGCAAATAGACTTCAGCCCACTCTACCAGAAGTAAGCTGGCTTTCTAAAGTCATAAGTGTGTAGAACAGTAAAACCATTCTATCCTAGAATCCTAGGGCTGGAAGAGACCTCAGGAGGTCATCGACTCCAGCCTCCTGCCCTAAATGATTCCAGCCAGGACTCTGTCAAGCTAGGACTTAAAAGCCTCTAGGGATGGAGATTTCATCCCCTCCCTAGGGAACCCAGCCCAGTACTTCCCCACCCTCCTAGGGAAATGGTTTTTCCTAATATCCAATCTAGACCTCTCCACTTTAACTTGAGCCCATTGCTCCTTGTTCTGCCGTCCGTCACTGCTGAGAACAGCCTCTCTCCATCCTCTTTAGAACCTCCCTTCAGGAACTTGAAGGCTGCTCTCAAATCCCCCCTCACTCTTCGCTTCTGCAGACTAAACAAGCCCCAATCCCTCAGCCTCTCCTCATAGTTCATGTGCTCCAGACCCCTAATCATTTTGGTTGCCCTTCACTGGACCCGCTTCAATGCATCCACATCCTTTCTATAGTGGCAGGCCCAGAACTGGACACAATACTCCAGATGTGGCCTTTGCAATGCTGAATAAAGGGGAATAATCACTTTTCCAGATCTGTGGGAAATGCTCCTCCTGATGCACCCTAATATGCCGTTAGCCTTTTTGGCTATAAGGGCACACTGTTGACTTATATCCAGCTTCTCATCCATTATAATCCCCAGGTCCTTTTCTGCTGAACAGCTGCCTAGTCAGTTGGACCCCAGTCCTTGGGCTTATTCTATCCCAAGGGCAGGACTCTACACTTGTCCTTGTTGAACCTCATCAGATTTCTTTTGGTCCAATCCTCCAATTTGTCTGGGTCACTCTGCATCCTATTTACCTCTTCCCCTAGCTTAGTGTCGTCTGTGAACTTGAACTTGCTGAGGGTGCAATCCATCCCCTCATCCAGATCATTAAAGATGTTGAACAAAACTGGCCCTGGAACTGATCTTTGGGGCACTCAGATTGAGACCAACCACCAAGCAGATAACAAGCCATTGAGCACTACCCATTGGGCCTGACAGTCTAGCCAGCTTTCTGTCCATCTTACAGTCCATTTATCCAATCCATGGTTCCTTAACTTGCTGGCAAGAATATTGTGGGAGAATACCGTATCAAAAGCCTTGCTAAAGTCAAGGTCTATCACATCCACTGACTTCCTCGTGTCCCTAGAGCCAGTTACCTCATCAGAAAAACTAATCAGATTGGTCAGGCATGACTTGCCCTTGGTGAATCCATGTGACTATTCCTGATCACTTTCCCCTCTTCCAAGTGCTTCGCAATGGATTCCTTCAGGATCCCTCCAGGATTTTTCTGGGGACTGAGGTGAGGCTGGCCAGTCTGCAGTTCTCTGGATCGTCCTTCTTCCCTTTTTAAAAGATGAGCCCTATATTTGCCTTTTTCCACTAGTCTAGGACCTACCCCAATGGCCACGATATAGCAAAGATAAGGGCCAAAAGCTCCACAACGACATTTGCCAACTCCCTCAGTACTCTTGGATGCATCAGATCTAGCCCCATGATTTTGTGTATGTCCAGCTTTTCTAAACAGCTCTTCACCTGTTCTCTCTCAGAGACTCTAAGGTCAGAAGGGACCATTCTGATCATCTAGTCTGACCCCCTGCACAGTGCAGGCCACAGAATCTCACCTAGAATAATCCTTTCACCTATGTCTCAGATACTGAAGCCTTCTAATACTTTGAAGGCCCCAAGATGCAGAGAATCCTCCAGCTGTGATCTGTGCCCCATGCTACAGAGGAAGGCGAAAAACCTCCAGGGCCTCTGCCAATCTACCCTGGAGGAAAATTCCTTCCCGACCCCAAAAATGGCGATCAGCTAAACCCTGAGCATGTGGGCAAGACTCACCAGCCAGACACCCAGAAAGTTCCCTATAGTGATCTGTGCCCCATGCTACAGAGGAAGGCGAAAAACCTCCAGGGCCTCTGCCAATCTACCCTGGAGGAAAATTCCTTCCCGACCCCAAATATGGCGATCAGCTAAACCCTGAGCATGTGGGCAAGACTCACCAGCCAGACACCCAGAAAGTTCTCTATAGTAACTCCTGTCATCCCTCCACTGACCTATTTCCCACTGATAGTGAATGGTCAATTACTTACCAAGATCCTGTTATCTCATCAAACCATCCCCTTCAGAAACCCATCTAGTTTAATCTTGAAACCAGATAGATCGTTTGCCCCCACTACTTCCCTTGGAAGGCCGTTCCAGAACCTCACTCCTCTAATGGTTAGAAACCTTCGTCTAATCTCAAGTCTAATCCTAGTGCCCCTTCTTTGTACCTGTTCCAGTTTGAATTCATCCTTCTTAAACATGGGAGACCAGAACTGCACACAGTATTCCAAACGGGGTCTCACCAATGCCTTGTATAATGCCACTACCACCTCCTTATCTCTACTGGAAATACCTCGCCTAATACATCCCAAGATCGTATTAGCCTTTTTCACGGCCATGTCACAATGGCGGCTCATA